CCATCCTTGCTTTTCCGAGTCAAGACAAGAGTAAGTGCTGATTTTTATTTTTATTTTCAAAAAGAAGCAAGGACAAAAGTGAATTCTAAGTTGTTATGCTGAAGCGTTCAAACGGTCTCAAATTCTCCTTGTCACACAACAGCAACAAGAAACACACACAACAAAGAGTCTAAACAGCCTTTGACAAACACACCTGCAGCTGTTTGTACAGCAACAGACTTGGTAAATGTTACACAGATCAACATGCTTAGGAAGTTTAGATATAGCTTCAAAATCTGCATATACTCACACACATATACGCCCACAGATGGAGATAATAACAGTGTAGCGTGCAAAAGGTCACTAGGTACCTCAAATTAAACTGTCTCCAGCTTGTGGTGGTATTCTTTACACACCGTTATTAAGAAATGACTTGTTGTGCTTATAGCAGCAGTGCATTTTGTAGTTTATTTTTGAGTAGACAATATAAATACTCAAAAATGCAATTTCACTGGCCTCTCTAAGATGCTCTTTTTATTCCTACTCATGTTAATGACCCAGTGTCAGTTCCCCAGCTCTTTCTTCTTAGTACCACTTACCTTTTATTTAACTTTTTTTAACATTTTCTTGTCCTATCCCAATTTTGAGACATTTGAGACATAAAATGAGTAATGTTTATTGTTTATTGTACATTTTCTATTATGAATAAAATATGTTTATCAGATTTGCTGATCAATGCATTCTGTTTTTATTCACATTTTGTACAACATACCAACTGTTTTTAAAATTGCAGATATAATATGAACATCACAAAATCACTATATATAAAACTTAATCCTTTTTAACACCCATGGTGTCTGTCTGTGGTGATATTCACTACACACAGTAGTTATTTCCTCTGTGGACTGAACTTGTTTTGTTCTTCCAGGAAACAAAGATGAGCTGGAGTTGCTGAACAATGAGACCAAGAAGAATGCTAAGTTAATCAAAGCAAGGCTAAAATGTAGGTGGACACATTTTTTTGTAAAGCACTGCAAAATTAGCTTTTATGCAGTGTAAGTTTTTGGCATGCTTCAGTGCAGTTAGATAAAATTTATCATTTTTTTCGATATGAATAATGCATATTTAGCTGTGTTGTTATTGTTTAATATAATGAAATGGGGAGGATCAGTGCAGCTGAGTTCCTCATACAGTGGGAATAGTTTGTAACACAGGATTTGACTTGTAAATGTGTAAAAAGGAAGTGTGGTGTAGCCCACTCAACATGCCTTTTGTAAACAAGCTGACAACAACACTGAGCTCTTTACTGTAACTGCAGAAAAGGACTGTGACATAGCAGACTTTGTTTAGTTTTCACTTGGTCCTGTATTCATGTTAGATCGGATTGTTTTTCAGCAATGCAGAAGCCTGGGGATGAGACCGGAGCTACAGTAGCCCAACGTATTAGGAATAACCAGGTGTGCAAGTAGTTTTATTTCCTGTCAAAAACCAGGTGCAAAATGATTGTCTGACACTCCTTTGCAGTTTCAAACACGCCCGACAAAATTACTCCTGACAGAGGTCTCTTTATTGACATTTGAATTGATTCACTTCATTCTCTTGCTCTCTTTCAACAGCACTCGTACTTGACTCGGTGGTTTGCTGAAGTCATGAAGGGTTACCATGAGGCACAAATTTCCTTCAGAGAAAAATGCAAGGCAAAAATTCAGAGACAGCTGGAGATTGGTAAGTTGCCAAATCTAAAAGGGAGCACTTGTCCCTCCTCACCCTCACGTCAGGTTGTGTAAATGGATTTTATTTCATACACCAGTCCATACTGCATTGAATGGAGGGCGCTTCTGCCAATGCTTTACTAGCAGGAAAACCTACACTAGTGTAAGTCACTGTGAGGGTGTTTGCATAGTAATAGCACTTTGGATAATAAGCTGGTGTCATTTTGGAGCAGCAATTTACAGTCTACAGTTTATGGTCAGCGCTCTATTGTAAATAAGTGTCAGGTTCATTGTTCTTTCTCATGACTCACTACTTCACAGTATTATAACCAGCTTTCTATTATACGTCATGTTTACAGTTTTCTTTTTCTCCTTTTGTAGTCTGAAGTTATTTTGTACATTTAAACAGTAAAGCAAACTGTCCTTTCAATTCCCATTAAAAACAGTGCTGCCTTACAGTTTACATGCACTCACAAACTACTTTATTAGATACACTTTATTATTATCTAATAAAGAGACTGGACTAACTTTCACCTTAATTCTTCATGGCTGCCAGCCCATCACATTCAAGGTTCTATGTGTTCTACATTCAGAGATGTTTTTCTGCATGTTGTAATGAGAATGATAATTTGAGTTACTGTTGCGTTCCTATCAGCTTGAAGCAGTCTGGCCATTGCCTCTGTCCTCAGGCATCAACAAGGCATTTTTGCCCAGAAAACTCATGAGGTATTTTTTTGGCCTATTCCCTAAAAACACCCTGGAGATGGCTGCGTGGGAAAATCTCAGTAGATCAACAGTTTCAGACTAGCCAGTGTGACACCAACAAACATGTTACATTCAAAGTCACTTAAATCACCTTTTTCCACATTCTGATGCTCAAACACGGGTCACCTTGTCCATGTCTGCATGTCTAAATGCATGCACTGCGTTGCCATGTGATTGGCTGAATAAAGAGTTATGTTAAAAAGATGTTGAATAGGTGTACCTATAAAGGTGGCAGGCATGCTATGGTAATTGCCAGTATGTTAATGCCATTAAATTTGATTTTTTTTCCTTCAAATCTACAATTAATATTGTACTAAGCAGCTGGCAGAGTGAACCTCTGTTTAATAAGCACTCATACATCCGGTTCCCCATGATGACATCTAGAATAGTTACAGGGTGCAGTGTATCTGTGAAAACTGCTTTTAAGTGTAGTACTTAAGCTGCTCCACAGTACGATACACTGTAATTTAAATGTGCAGTAGTACGTTTAGTAAACAGACTGATGTAAATCATTATAGCAGTAAGTAGAAGTTGAGGTGTAATTGCGCCATCCTGTGGTGACTATCTAACTGGCATCCTTGGCAGCACAAAATAAGTCTTGGTCTTTGTCTGTTATTTATTTAGTTGTTGTTCAATAAATTAAGTTCCACAAACATGATGAAACTTATTTAGTATCTTTTGTTACTTTCAGTGAATAAAAGCACTACAGGTGAAGAGTTGGAGGAGATGATGGAACGTGACAATCTTGCCATCTTCATATCTGATGTGAGTGGAATCCAACATCTTTTTTTGGGGGGTTACTCAGATAAGCAGTTTTTGTAGGTTTGAAGCCATTTATATGATAAATCAAACACAGCTTGAGCATTTTCTCTTTCGCAGATCACCTCTGACAGTCAGATTTCCAGCCAGGCTTTGACTGAGATTGAACTTCGCCATCAGGAAATCCTCTGCCTCGAGTCCAGCATTAAAGATCTGCACGAGATATTTGTTGACACTGCCATGATGCTGGAACTCCAGGTAAAACAAGCTACCTCGCGTGGGAATGTTTAATGAAGATTAATGTAACATATTTGTCAATGACATTCATGTTTTTTTCTTCTCCCAGGGCGAGTTAATCAACAACATAGAAAGAAATGTCACAACTGCTGCAGAGTATGTAGACAGATCAAAGGAAGAAACAAGCAGAGCTGTTGACTACAAGAAGAATCCTTATAAGATAACATTTCTGCCGAACTTCATGAAGTCCCTCAAGAAAAATAGTGCCCCTGATCCTGTGTGAACAGTGACTACACCAAATGTCCTGGTGTGCATTGAAGTCAGTTTTATCTGATTTATGTCGCCTGTGTGCCCCTCAGGCTCCTTTCTAAAGGATTTTGATGACGCTGTTGTTTTAATGAAAAGAATTCATTTGATAATAGTAAAACGATTCTGTGGACAAGGCAGCAGCTTCCTAACACCACCTTCAGTCAGTGTATTTAGATTCCTAGTCCTCAGGGTTTAGGTTTTAGAAATGGCAAAACAGCCCCTTTTATGTTTTCCTTCAGTCTCTTATGTAGCCAGTAGGTGTCATGACAACACTACAGTGTTCCTTCTCTATTTGCTGCCCTTTAAAACTATGGTGCTGCATATTGTGTTGTTTTGTTTTTTTAATGTTTGTTTTTTAATGGTTTAATATAACACTGTGTTAAAGTGAGAAAAAATGTCTGTAAACTGACCACGCCGATCTCAAAATAAACCTGTGAGGAATGGTGCGGTACTTAATTCATGGGTCTTTTATTATGATAGCACAAATGAAAGAGGAGAAGGGATTGCTTTGATGATTGAAGGCAGAACACAGGCAAAATCATATTTATAATGTAAGTGAAGGTCAACTTTAAGTTGATTTGGTTCAGCTAAAAAGCTATATGTTGTTTTTAGTGCGCACAGTGGCGATCCATATTATGGGCAATAGTAGCAGAAACATTCATTCAGAAACATTTGGATGACTGATTAGAAGGTTAGGATTTCAAGCTTCCCTGTACCGTAATGTTAAGCACTCAGCCTTCTCTTTAGCAACACTCCATACTCTGACCTCAGTTTGCTAACAAGATGAGAATGTGCGACAATCAAAAAGAATGTTACTGTGGAGTAACTTTGTGAAAAAAAACAAAGGCTTGCATTAGAATGCTGTCGCAGGCCTGAAGAATTTCTCCTCACATAAAATCACTTCAAGGGGACAACTAAACAGTCTGGATGTACTTGCAGGAAGATGACAAAGCGTCTTATGCTATGAAGCCATGAAAACAACTTGTACAGGGATGAACCATTCTTCCAAAGGTTGTCTTGGTTGGGGTTTGGCCAAAATGACAGTTCAGCATCTTCCTGTGGTGCTGCACTGTGTGGAGATTTAGTGATGGGGGAAGCCAGAAGATGATGTATGATGATGTCACTGTCATACTCACTGAACAGTTCAGCAAGCTTGTGTAAACTGAGGCATTGTCATCCTAGAAGACACTGCTCCCATCAGGATAGAAATGTTTTTCTGCACAAAAAAGGCACTCGGAATAAATTTGCATTAATTTTTAATAACACTTTGTCAAAAGGGACAAGTCCACCCAAAACCTTCAAGAAAAATCTGGAAATGTCTGCATTTATGTTTCTCCCAATGACTGCAGTCACTTGTCTGTACTGACTCTTACCTGGGCCTTAAGTGCAATAGGTACCTGTTTAAAATTATTGCGTGTGTTCGTTTTTCAGTGAGATCTGACTGGAGTGGAGGATGAGCAAGCATATTCCTGCATTATGGGAGTGCTGCCAGGTTGAACCCATTGACTTATCCATTAGGCTGCGTTTCTCGCTCTCTTCCCCCCTCCTCCCCTCGCTACAGCTCCTGGATAAGATTTCACAGCACCTTTAGCACTTTGCTGAAAGCTCGGATTTTCAAACAGGGAGGGAAGAAGAATGGGAGATAAGGATGACGATGTAATTTAAAGACACAAAAAGAGAAAAGAGGTGCAAGAAGATAAGGAAGACAATGAAACTGATACAGCACTACATAAAAAGATGGTTTCTTTATTGGTTGCACCAGGTTGGCGAGGGCCCACAAAATAGGGCTTGGCCACAAAGGACTGAGTGGTGTGTGATGACATCAAATGTTAGGCCCTGCAGTTTTGCTTTGAAAGGTCATCCCTGTGTTTGTCATTTAAGCAAAAAGTAAGCTAATGGGCTGAAAGTGGCCTGTCTCCAAAAGAACCATTAAACATTTCCCCAGTTGGAATGGACAACAAGGAGCTACTAATAGATTAGAGGAAAAGGTTGAAGGTGGGTAACAGTCTCTTTTTCTGCCTCTGCAAGGAGTCTGGCTTATTTCTTCGCTTTGCCCTGGGCAGCTACAGCCTCCATGGCCTTCTTTACAGTTTCCTCATCACCGAGGAAAGACATGGGCTTAATGGGCTTCAGGTTGGCATCCAACTCATACACAATTGGGATTCCCGTGGGAAGGTTCAGCTCCATGATGGCTGCGTCAGACATACCTGGTGATGCAAGCAGACAGAGCAGATGAAGGCATGCGGAGATCAGCATCAGAGGGCTGTAACTGATACAATACACTGTACTGTAAGTCTGTCAGAATCCCAGCAACATAGACAGGACAACAGATGGACAACAGAAAAAAAAAAGTAAAGCATGTTTTCTTTATATCTCAGTGTATTTTAAGTTCCCTCAGGTCTGCCTCTGTCTTTCAACACTGGACCTGCCACTCTTATCTGACATTTACTATTGCCCTTGAAGCTCTTTAAAACCCTTATCCGTCTCTGGGCTGCTCCTTGAAAAAGTACAACCTTTCTACATAAAGGTCGTGACTGTAATGGGAACCAAGCTCATGACCCTCTACCCTGTCCCTGAGATCTGGTGTGAGCCTCTGCTGCTATTTATAGACAATCCACAACTCTTGTCTGTATGTGTGTAAAGTCTGTGTAAGTGTGTGACACTGGCTATTCAGGTCAACTTTCTGCAGAAGTCTTTGGCTATCATGAAAGAATTTCACTGTTAAGTGTTCTGCAGTGTCATTTTTTAAGTCACTCTATCTACTTTGTCCGACCTTCTCATTCTTTTCTTTTTGTAAACTTTGTCCACAGTGCTTACCCTCTAAGTGCTTGACAATGCCACGGAGGCTGTTCCCATGGGCAGCAATGATGACATTCTTCCCAGCTTTGATTTCAGGAACAATGACTTCATTCCAGAAAGGCAGAGCGCGGGCAATGGTATCTTTAAGTGACTCACATGTGGGCAGCTCACCAGGCTTCAAGCCTTTGTAGCGCCGAGACTGGAGGCAAAAACAACACCGCAAAGTACAAAAGCTTAATAACTGACAGCACTCTCAAGCAAATTCTGGAGCTCTTTAAGCTAAGCTACTTTGCATTTGTCTCACCTCGCTGATGATTTTGTGATAAGGGTGGTCCTTATCCATGGGTGGAGGTGGGATGTCAAAGGAACGACGCCAGATCTTCACCTGCTCTTCACCGTGCTTTTCAGCCGTCTCCGCCTTGTTGAGCCCAGTGAGGCCTCCGTAGTGGCGCTCATTCAGACGCCAGGTACGAATCACAGGCAGCCACATCTGGTCTGTGCCCTCCATGATGGTCCACAGGGTCTTGATGGCACGTTTCAGCACAGAGGTATAGCACACATCAAACTTCATGCCTGCCTCCTTGATAGCCTGGGCACCACGCTTGGCCTCCTCCACTCCCTTTTCACTGAGGTCAGCATCGAACCAGCCACAGAAGCGGTTCTCTTGGTTCCAGGCGCTCTCACCGTGGCGGACAATAACCAAACGATGGGCGGCAGCCATGCTTAATACTATTTCCCTAGATTTTTACTTAAACCAGACACAGAGCCCTCAGCCCTCCTAAGTTGTGGACACTCACACACACTCTGGCTGACCAACAGTAAGCCCAAGGCAGCATACCACACCCTTTTTATAGCAACCTGGATCATGGCAATGCCTAGCAGACAGGCCTTCTTTACTTTCCCCCTGTGAGAGGCCTTCATACTCTGATGGACACACTGGGAGGACCAATAGAGCCAGGCCTCTATCCTGGGACATGTGGTGTCTGGGAAGGCCAGAGGTCAGATACTGATCCAGAATAGCAACATGACTTTTAAACTGACATCTGTGCAAGAAAAGTGTAAAGATCAGAGTTGGAACCTCATGCTCAGATGAAGCATTTCCTCACTCTTCAACTCACTGCACAGTGAAGATTTTGTATGTTTAGTAAATATTTGTCCACAGGGCATTTGTTGTGTGGGCATAACAGTGACTACATGACTCATGTAGGTCCTCTGTGTTCCACTATGGCTGGAGAAATTCCATTTTCAGTGTGTCACTAAACAGCTGCATACAGTAGCTGCCAGTGCCAGCAGGAAAAAAAAATAAAATAAAATAAAATAAATAAATAAATAAATATATAATATATAATATATATATATAATATATAATATCATATCAACTGAATTATAACTAACTTATATTATTATATATATATATATATAATAAATATATATATACACATATATATACACATATATATTATATATATATATTTATTTATTACTATTATATTATATATTTGCGGCTGACTACTGGTGCTAGATTTACTCTTACTTCTATAAACAACAATTATGTATTATCATAAAGAACAAGATAAAGGTTCATAAACAATATAAGGAGTGTGTAAAAGTCTGTCAGAAGTGCCTATCTTGGTGCAACATAAAGACATTATCAAGTCAGTGTAAAATCTGAAATCAGGGTAATATATAAGGTGTTATTTCAATTAATCACCTCTAGGAGCTGCTCTAATATCATGTCGATTATGTTTACCATTGTATTACATGAAACTTGTTTTTATGAGATAAAAACACCACATAAAAAACTTTGTGAATTACAGTTAGAATATTTTAGGGGTATGTTGAAAACAGAATGAGTTACAAATCCAATAATCCACTTTTCTCCATATGATAGAAAATTGTCACCATCTCTGCTGCATGCTTTGATTAAAACTTAATCACTTTGTATCCTTAGTCTTAAATAGAAAAAGGCCTGGCGCTCCACCAAAGTGAACCTATGACATATGCTACTGAGACAACATTTTTAGTATTTTTCATTAAATTTAATGCTGGGAAGAGAAAATACACTGACAGACAAAGAGCTGACAAAGCAGGGGCATTGAGCTGCAGAGCTAACAGGAAAAGTAGATGCCTTGTGTCCTGAACAATCAAATTTATGATCCAGAGGAAATACAATAATCCAAAAATAGAATATTAATGGAACTCCAGGAATGACGCCAACCTGCATCATGTGATCATGACATTGAGATTTTCTTCTATACAGAATATAAACTAATGAGAAGGACTGTGACAAGGAAGAAGAAAAGTCACTATTTTTTTCATTTTTATGGCTAGTACAAGATGTTTAACAGAGAATGATGAGTAGTCTTTCAACGAAAAATTCTCTGTGTGCTGCCTACAATCAAAAAACTGTCTGGCAAGTCTTGCAGAACGGGAAAAGTTAAGTTGGAAAATAAATATAATATAAATACTTGCATTTAACAAATACACAATTGGTTATTACGTTAATTTAAGTTGTGTCTGGTGGTGGCTGGATAGATGGATGGATGGTATTTTTGGCCCTCTGGTGGTCAAACTGGACTAATGCATCTTATTAGTTTATTTCACCAAGACAGCAGATGCTATCATGGATCACAAAATTGTTGCTCTAATCAGAAGTATGATGCTGGCATCGTTTTTTGTAAAATGCTAGCAATGTTGAGTGCGATAATACTGTCGTCTTCACATGTAGGCCGAGCTTTTATGTTAGTCAGCATCGTGGAGGCAAGAAGTACCAACCTGGAAATTAGTGCTGTAAGTGATCTAATGTGTTTGGGAAGAGAAGTTAATGATCTACTTTCTCTGTTTTATTTCCCCAGATCCTGTAAGCGCCTTGTCTGCCAGAAATCACCCCGATGCAGATTGTCATACTGCTGTTACGGTGGGAAAAAAAGTGTACACAAGGGAGTTTGTGTGATCACAACTGTAACGATGACTCAGCCAGCAGCGCAGCCTATGCAGCTCCCACAGAAGCCCCCCCACCTCCCACCACCTACCTCCTTTTTATTTGGGCACAGCACTGCCTATAGGCACCAGGGGCATTTGCTGCAAAGGCAAAGAACACCAGCCATACATGCTGTAGAGCTTTCCCATATACAACAATAGACAACTACACAAAACTGCACAATTCATGCTGCAAAACACTGCAATGCACTTCATTTATTCATAAAGCTGGAAAGAAAAATGAATCTTTGAACGGAAACTCTTTACTTCACACGCACACACACACACACACACACACACACACACGCCATATATAGCAGTATGGATATGTTTTCTCCTGTTTCAAATCATGAGGGCAACACAATATGTAACTAGTCACTGAATATTTTAAATATCTTGTGTCGCTGTTATGGACAATATGATGCTCTTGAGAATATTTGTTCTATATATATATATAGCAGAAGGGGTATTTGGGTGAACACACAATTTTCAACTTCTGCAGAAAATGAAATCACAGTAAATATTCTTTAACTAAAGGATCAAAAAAGAGTATTAAACACACCCTGCATGTAAAAATTAATAACCTTTAACAGCAGACAGTTGAGAAACCTGTTGAGAAAAATGAAAATCAATTATGGTATTTTTGCAAGCTTTGCTATACCTGTTGATACCATTGATACATGTTGTATTCATTTATAGTTCAGACATTGTTTTAGCTGCACATTAACCCACTCTAAGTCATGCCTTTAATAGTGTTATGCCATCTGTTTGGGTGGGATTTTTATCATTGCAGGTGTTGAGGCCATGGCTGTAGTTCTGCTCCCCACCACACACAGAGATGCTGTGTCATGATTGTAAAATGAGGACACCCCGGCCCCACCCTCACCCTTTTTTCTGCAGTGAGTGAGGAGACAGAAAATGTGTTTGAGTGATATTTTGTCTTTTTTACAACATAAAATTACTGTAAAAACTGTACAGTTTCTTAAAAAGATCAGGTTATGTGTTTAAAACTGGCCATGTGATAGACTTTTTTAAAGTTTTGCTGTAGTCTTAAAAATTACTGTAAAAAGCTGTTTTTATATTCTAGTTTATTTAGAAACTGTTTTTCTTCCTCTCTGCTTTTAACCCTTGCTCATTTCCCTCCTCCGTGTATTCCCATGGCTCATATCTTTCTCATTTCTTGCCATTGCAGTGTAAACCTATCAAGCCTTCATTGTCAGAGGGTGCAGAAAGTGCTTGCGTCAGCCCCCACCATCCAGCTATAAAAGCGCAGGCTGCTGCAGCAGCAAGCAGTCAAGACTTAAACCCAAGCCCTTCGCACTCCTCCACACGCACACAGACAGCAAGAGGAGAGGAAGAGCAACTTTTCCTCCCAACACTCAACCATGAGTAGCATCGGATATGACCCTTACTACTCCACCTCATCATACAGACGCTATTTTGCCGAGCCTCCTGCACGTGTGGTGGTGACTAGAGGGAGGACCCTCTCTGGCTTCTCTACTCATGCATCCCCACTGTCTTCCTCCCGTCTGCAGTACTCCTCCCCTGGCCGTGTGCTCTACTCTTCTTCCTCACCAGCTTCTTCCCTGGAGCTGGAACTCAGCCAAGCAGCCCAGATCAGCTCCGAGTTTCGGGCTGTACGCACACAAGAGCGCAGCCAGCTGCAGGACCTTAATGACCGTTTTGCCGGTTTCATCGAGAGAGTGCGTGAGCTGGAGCAGCAGAACCGTGCCTTGGAGGCAGAACTGCTGCTGCTGAGGCAAAGGCACTCTGAGCCGTCCCGCCTGAGAGCACTGTATGAGCAAGAGGCCCGGTCCCTGAGAGCAGCTGTGGATGAAGCTAGGGCAGAACAACAGGCTGTCCTAAGTCAGAGAGAGAGGCTGGAGCAAACCCTGAGTGCTCTGCAGGGTCGATATGAGCAGGAGGTGTTGGCTCGTGAAGAAGCTGAGGGCAAGCTGATGGAGGCTCGTCGGGAGGCCGACGAGGTTACCTTAGCAAAAGCTGAGCTGGAGAAAAGTGTGGAAATCCTGCTGGACGAGCTGGCCTTCCTCAAGAGGATTCATGAGGGTGAAGTGGTTGAACTTCAGGCCCAAGTCCAGCTGGGTGTGCAGGTGGCTGTGGAATCTGAGGCTGCCGCTCCAGACCTCTCTGGGGCTCTCAGGGATATCCGGTCCCAGTATGAAAGGCTGGCTGCCAGGAACATGCAGGCAGCTGAGGAGTGGTTCAGAAGCAAGGTAGGCTCCCTGACTGAAACTGTGGCCCAGCACACTGATGCTGTGAGAAATTCCAAGGACGAAGCAGGAGAGTACCGACGCCAGCTACAAGCCCGCATACTGGAAATCGATGCATGCAGAGGCCTCAATGGATCCCTGGAAAAACAGCTGCATGACATGGAGGAGAAACAGAGTGCAGAGATAGCAGCTATGCAGGTCTGTAAATGTCGTCCAGATCTTTGAAGTATGTTACTTAAGGTTTTCATTTGATCCTGCAGTATGTTATTTCCCTTTGTCTCATTGAATAAAATAACAGTTATCTTTGATTTTTCTTTAGGATACCATTGCAGAACTGGAGAGTGAGCTGAGGGGCACTAAACAGGAAATGGCACGCTACCTGAAGGAGTACCAGGACCTTCTGAATGTCAAGATGGCTCTGGACATCGAGATTGCTGCATACAGGTAATGGGTGAAACAGGGAGTGAGTCTGATAAATGATAAAGGGTTTATTTTTAGCGTCGCAAAATTATATAGTAACTCCTATTTAGAGGCACCTAGGAAACTGATGCTTTTGGATTTGTATCAGAGTCAGTGAAGTTTTTTTTACATTTAATGTCTGAGACATGCAGGGGCGTAATTTCCA